ACACCCCTCACCCACCCCACACTTTCAAATCCACTCCCTCCTCCCCCCCCTTTCTCCCCAGTTCCCGACTGCAGACGTCTCCGTTGAGTTCTTGTATTTGACAGCCATTTTTCTTTAACTCTGTAAACGACGGAGCTGACGCATTATAATAGTAATAATATGTCCAATAAATAGCAAATCAAATACGACGCAGCAGCACGATGTGAACTATCATAATATGTGAGGCAGCGTGGTGGAATCAGGCTCTCGTCAATTTTAGGGCATGTTGAGTTATTGGTATCATCTTAAAGCTTGTTCACTTGTCTTTATTTGGATGGAAAAAAAATATCCATTTATCTTGAATACAAGTCGAGATATCTGCGAATGAAGGAGGTGGGGGTCACTTGTTTTCAGAGGTAAGATTACTGAGAAAATGGCCGCAAAAGAGTAGTTTTTTCCGTAGACTAAGAATCCGTGGGAACTGAATATTTTCATTTTTTGTGCCTTTAATCAACGTTTTTTAAAGAAAAATTCAAACAGAAATGAGTTCTTTAATGGGAATGAAAGGTGTTGAAGCAAAAAACTAAAAATTTATAAAAATACCCAAACCTGTGGAAAAATCCAAGTTTCTTCACTTTGATTATTTTGACGAAAGCCTGATTCCACCACGCTGCCTCACATAATATTACTTAAACCAGGAAAACGAATGTAGGAAGTTCGTGCTACGTAGAGTTATTGTTGATGCCTGACTTGTCAAGTTTCAGATGTAGGGAACAAACAATTAGATACAATGAAATAAAAGCTTCTTTAAGGTGTCCTATGAGAGAGAGAGAGAGAGAGAGAGAGAGAGAGAGAGAGAGAGAGAGAGAGAGAGAGAGAAAGTTTTACGGAGCAGGTGTTTCTGCACGTTAGACATGTATTTACTAATGCCCTGTCTTGTTGTGCGTATGCGTGAGTGCATAATAGCTTTGTAACATCTAGTGCAATTGTAATCGACCTAGAAAAATATATCCCTGCGAGATGAATAAGGATTGTCATTGTCTTTGTCATATTAACGACATGCCGACAAACACAATTGTCTCCACGTCTCTGTAATATCTATCTATCTATCTATCTATCTATCTATCTATCTATCTATCTATCTATCTAT